GCTCAAAGGTAAGAAATCTGCCTGCTAATTCAAGGGAGCTAAATGAAGAATGAGAGTTTGCCCAAAATGCGCATTAGAAATAAGAATAAAAGTAGCCAATGAGATAGGAGGATTTTTAAATGGAGCAAGAGTTAAGTCTTGACACCAATCAATTTAGGCATTAAGAACAAGTTTGGGCATCAGGCTGGCCTAGTTTGGTTCCTGATCATGCCATTTACAAAGCATGTGATTTTTTGCAACTTGCTTAACCTTGCTAATCGTCAATTTCCTATTTCTATAAAATGGGCATAATGTCTACCTTGTTAGATTATTATGAGGATTACATTAAAGGAATTCATACAGGCATACCTGATTTTATTGCATTGTGCTTTATTGAGCTTCACAGATAACCATGTTTTTTACAAATTGAAGGTTCTGTGCAACCCTGCATCAAGCAAGTCTATCAGAGCCATTTTTTTCAATAGCATGAGCTCACTTCATGTCTCTGTGTCATTATTTTGGTAAATCTCACAATATTTCAAAGTTTTCTTCATTATTATATCTGGTATGGTGATTTGATATCAGTGATCTTTGAAGTTACTATTGTAATTGTTGTGGGGCACCATGAACCACACCCATGTAAGACAGCTAACTTAATCCATAAATTTGGAATGTGTTCTGACTTCTCTACTGACCAGCCATTCCTTCACCTCTCTACCTCTCCTTGGCCTCCCTATTCGCTGAGACACAACATTATTAAAATTAGGCCAATTAATAATTCTATAATTTCCTTGAATATTCAAGTGAAAGGAAGAATTACACATTTCTCACTTTAAATCATAAGCTACAAATGCTTAAGCTTAGTGACAAAGGTATGTCGAAAGCTGAGATAGGCTGAACAGGCTCCCTGCACCAGACAGCCAAGTTGCATATTTAAAGGTAAAGGTCCTGAAGGCAATTAAAGTGCTATTTCAGTAAAGAAGTGAATTACGAGAAAGCAAAACAGCCTTACTAGTGCTATGGTGAAAGTTTCAGTGGTCTGGGAAGATTAAACCAGCCACAGCATACTCATAAGCTAAAGCAAGCCCCTAAACCTCTTTGAGTCTATGAAGGCTGAGAGAGCCATAATTGGATATATATCCCGCCATGGTTCAGCACATGAAACTCTTAATAACTAGAGAAATGTATGTAAAATAATTAGTGCAAGAAAGATAGTTCACTTTACCTCCAAAAAACCTTTTGGGTTTTTAAATGTTAAATAATAGACACTTACTTAATTGGCACTTTTGCCCTGCATTCATGAGATCATACATATCATATAGCAATACTGAAGTATCAAAGTTTCTTTCCTAAACTAGAATATTTTACAATGTTTATAGATTTGCCCTCATCCCCTTAAGTTATTTATTGGGTTCACAAATGCTGATTAAGTAAATGTCTATGAAGGCTCTCAAAGAAACAGTAAAAGAAAAGTTTGGCTCTATCAGAGGTGGGTTCATGAAGCTGAAGGAAAGAAGCAGTCTCTGTATCATAAAAGTGCAAGCTGAAGCAACAAGAGCTGATGGAGAACCTATCCAGAAGATCAAGCTATGATTACTGATGAAGGTGGTTACCCCAAACATCAGATTTCCAATGTACATGACACAGCTTTCTGTTAGAAAATATCATCTAGGACTTTCATACCTTGACAGGAGAAATCAATGTCTAATTTCAAGAGACAGGGTGGCTCTCTTGAGCCTGACTTTTTAATGATCACCATTCTAACTGGCATGAGTGTCTCATTGTGGTTTTGATTTGCAATTTTCTAATAACCAGTGATGATGAGCTTCTTTTTTATGATTCTTGGCCACAAAAATGTCTTCTTTTGAAAACTGTCTGTTCATATCCTTCACCCACTTTTTGATAGGGTTGGTTTTTTCTGATAAATTTGTTTAAGCTCATTGTAGATTCTGGATATTAGCTCTTTGTCAGATAGATAGATTGGAAACATTTTCTCCCATTCTGTAGATTGCATGTTCACTCTGACGATAGTTTCCTTTGCTGTGCAGAAGCTCTTTAGTTTAATTACATCCCATTTGTCAATTTTGGCTTTTGTTGCCATTGCTTTTGGTGTTTTAATCATGAAGTCTATGCCCACACCTATGTTCTGAATGGTATTGCCTAGGTTTTCTTCTAGGATTTTTATGGTTTTAGATTTTACATTTAAGTCTTTAATCCATCTTGAGGAGTTAATTTCTGTATAAGGTATAAGGAAGGGATCCAGTTTCAGCTTTCTGCCTATGACTAGACAGTTTTCCCAACACCATTTATTAAATAGAGACTCCTTTCCCCATTGGTTGTTTTTGTCAGGTCTGTCAAAGATCAGGTGGTTGCAGATGTGTGGCATTATTTCTGAGGCCTCTGTTCTGTTCCATTGGTCTATATATCTGTTTTGTTACCAGTACCATGCTGTTTTGGTTGCTGTAGCCTTGTAGTATAATATAAAGTCAGGTAGCATGATGCCTCCAGCTTTGTTCCTTTTGCTTAGGATTGTCTTGGCTACATGGGCTTTCTTTTGGTTCCATATGAAATTTAAAGTAGCTTTTTCCAATTCTGTGAAGAAAGTTAATGGTAGCTGATGGGGATAACATTGAATCTATACATTACTTTAGGCAGTATGGTCATTTTCATGATACTGATTCTTCCTATCCATGAGCATGGAATGTTTTTTCCATTTATTTGTGACCTCTCATTTCAGTGGTTTGTAGTTCTCCTTAAAGAAGTCCTTTAATCCCTTGTAAGTTATATTTGTAGATATTTTATTGTCTTTGTAGCAATTGTGAATAGGAGTTCACTCATGATTTGGCTGTTTGTCTATTATTGGTGTATAGGACTGCTTGTGATTTTTGCACATTAATTTTGTATCTTGAGACTTTGCTGACGTTGCTTATCAGTTTAAGGAGATTTTGAGCTGAGACAATGGGGTCTTCTAAATGTACAATCATGTCATCTGCAAACAGAGACAATTTGATTTCCTCTTTTCCTATATTACTACCTTTGTTTCTTTCTCTGGCCTGATTGCCCTGGCTAGAACTTCCAATACTATAATGAATAGTAGTGATGAGAGAGGGCATCCCTGCCTTTTGCTGATTTTCAAAGGGAATGCTTCCAGCTTTTGCCCATTCAGTATGATATTGGCTGTAGGTTTGTCATACATAGCTCTTATTATTTTGAGATACATTCCATCACTACCTAGTGTATTGAGTTTTTAGCATGAAGCATTGTTGAATTTTATCAAAGGCCTTTTCTGCATCTACTGAGATAATCATGTGAATTTTGTCATTGGTTCTGTTTATGTGATGAATTATTTCATTGATTTGTGTATATTGAACCAGCCTTGCATCCCAGAGATGAAGGCAACTTGATCACAGTGGATGAGCTTCCTGATGTGCTGCTGGATTCAGTTTGCCAGGATTTCATTGAGGATTTTTGCATTGATGTTCATCAGGGATAATGGCCTGAAATTTGCTTTTTTGTTGTATCTCTGCCAGGTTTTGGTATCGGAATGATGCTGGCCTCATAAAATGAGTTAGGGAGGAGTCCCTCTTTTTCTATTGTTTGGAATAGTTTCAGAAGGAATGGTACAAGCTCCTCTTTGTACCTCTGGTAGAATCTGGCTGTGAATCCGTGTGGTCCTGGGCCATTTTCGGTTGGTAGGCTATTAATTACTACCTCAATTTCTGAACTTATTATTGGTCTATTCAGGGCTTTGACTTCTTCCTGTTTTAGTCTTGGGAGGGTGTATGTGTTTAGGAATTTACCCATTTCTTCTAGATTTTCTAGTTTATTTTCATAGAGTTGTTTATAGTACTCTCTGATGGTAGTTCATATTTCTGTGGGATCAGTGACAATATCTCCTTTTCCATTTTTTATTGTGTCTATTTGATTCTTTTCTCTTTTCTTCTTTATTAATCTGGCTAGTGGTCTATCTATTTTGTTGATCCTTTCAAAAAAAACAGCTCCTGTATTCACTGATTTTTTTTGAAGGGCTTTTCGTGTCTCTATCACCTTTAGTCCTGCTCTGACCTTAGTTATTTCTTGTCTTCTGCTAGCTTTTGTATTTGTTTGCTCTTGCTTCTCTAGTTCTTTTAATTGTGTTGTTTATATATTGATTTTAGATCCATCTTGCTTTCTCCTGTGGGTTTTTAGTGCTATAAATTTCCCTCTACACATTGTTTTAGCTGTGTCACAGAGTTTCTGGTCCATTGTGTCTTTGCTCTCATTGGTTTCAAAGAACTTTTATTTCTGCCTTAATTTTGTTATTTACCCCGTAGTCATTCAGGAGCACATTGTTCAGTTTCCATGTAGTTGTGCAATTTTGAGTGAGTTTCTTAATCCTGAGTTCTAATTTGAATACACTGTGGTCTGAGAGACTGTTATGAATTTGGTTCTTTTGCATTTGCTGAATGTTTTACTTCCAATTATGTGTTCCATTTTAGAATAAATGTGATGTGGTGCTGAGTAGAATGTACATTCTGTTGATTTGGGGTGGACAGTTCTGTAGATGTTTATTAGGGCCACTTGGTCCAGAGCTGAGTTCAAGTCCTGAATAACCTTGTTAATTTTCTGTCTCATTGTTCTGTCTAATATTGAAAGTGGGGTGATAAGTCTCCAACTAAAATTGTATGACAGAATAAATCTCTTTTTAGGTCTCTAAAACCTTACTTTATGAATTTGGGTGCTCCAGTACTGGGTGCATATATTTTTAGGATAGTTAGCTCTTCTTGTTGCATTGATCCCTTTACCATTATGCAATGCCCTTCTTTGTCATTTGATCTTTGTTGGTTTAAAGTCTGTTTATCAGAAACTAGGAATGCAAACCCAATTTTGTTGTTGTTGTTATTTTGTTTCGCTTTCCATTTGTTTGGTAAATATTCCTTCACCCCTTTATTTTGAGCCTATACATGTCTTTGCATGTGACATAGCCCTCCTGAATATAGCATATCGATGGGTCTCAACTCTATATCCAATTTGCCAATCTGTTTTGTCTTTTTTTTTTTTTTTTTTTTGAGATGGAGTTTCGCTCTTGTTACCCAGGCTGGAGTGCAATGGCACAATCTCGGCTCACCGCAACCTCTGCCTCCTGGGTTCAGGCAATTCTCCTGCCTTAGCCTCCTGAGTAGCTGGGCTTACAGGCACACACCACCGTGCCCAGCTAATTTTTTGTATTTTTAGTAGAGACGGGGTTTCACCATGTTGACCAGGATGGTCTTGATCTCTTGACCTCGTGATCCACCTGCCTCAGCCTCCCAAAGTGCTGGGATTACAGGCGTGAGCCACTGCGCCCGGCCAATCTGTGTCTTTTAATTGGGGTATTTAGTCCATTTACATTTAAGTTTAATATTTTTATGTATAAATTTGATCCTGTCATTATGATGCTAGCTGGTTATTTTGCACATTACTTGATGCAGTTTCTTCATAGTGTGGATGGTCTTTACAGGTCAGTATGTTTTTGCAGTGGCTGGTATCAATTTTTCCTTTCCTTAATTAGTGCTTCCTTCAGGAGCTCTTGTAAGGCAGGCCTGGTGTTGACAAAATCTTTCAGCATTTGTTTGTCTGTAGAGGATTATATGTATTCCTTGCTTATGAAGCTTAGTTTGGCTGGATATGAAATTCCAGGTTGAAAATTCTTTTCTTTAAGAATGCTGAATATTAGCCCCCACTCTCTTCTGGCTTGTAGGGTTTCTGCAGAGAGATCTGATGTTAGTCTGATGGGCTTCCCTTTACGGGTAATTCGACCTTTCTTTTGGCTGCCCTTAACTTTTTTTCCTTCATTTCAAACTTGGAGAATCTGACAATTATGTGTTCTGGGGTTGCTCTTCTTGAGGAGTATCTTTGTGGCATTCTCTGTATTTCCTGAATTTAAATGTTGGCCTTTCTAAGTTTGGGAAGTTCTCCTGGATAATATCTTGAAGAGTGTTTCCAACTTGGTTCCATTCTCCCAGTCACTTTCAGTACACCAATCAAACATAGATTTGGTCTTTTCACATAGTCCCACATTTCTTGGAGGGTTTGGTTTTTTTTTACTCTTTTTTTCTCTAATCTTGTCTTTTCACTTTATTTCATTGAGTTGACCTTCAATCTCTGATATCCTTTCTTCTGCCTGATCGATTTGGCTATTGATACTTGTGTATGCTTCATGACGTTGTTGTGCTGTATTTTTCAGTTCCATTAGTTCACTCATGTTCTTCTCTAAAATGGTTATTCTAGTTGGTAATTCCTCTAACCTTTCTTCAAAGTTCTTACCTTCCTTGCATTGAGTTAGCCCATGCTTCTTTAGTTTGGAGGAGTTTGTTATTTCCCACCTTCTGAAGTCTACTTCTGTCAATTCATCAAACTCCTCCATTCAGTTTTGTTTCCTTGCTGGCAATGAGTTGTGGTCCTTTGGTGGAGATGAGGTGTTCTGGTTTTGGGAATTTTCAGCCTTTTGTGCTGTTTTTTCCTCATCTTTGTGGATTTATCTACCTTCAGTCTTTGATGTTGGTGATCTTCAGATGGGATTTTGGTGTGGACATCCTTTTTGTTGATGTTGATGCTATTCCTTTTTGTTTGTTAGTTTTCCTTCTAAAAGTCAGGCCCCTTCTGCAGCAGGTCTGCTGGAGTTTCCTGGAGGTACACTCCAGACCCTGTTTGCCTGGGTATCACTGGTAGAGGCTGCAGAACAGCAAATATTGCTGCCTGTTCCTTCCTCTGGAGGCTTCATCCAGAGGGGCACCTGCCAGATGCCAGCCAGAGCTCTCCTGTTATGAGGTGTCTGTCAACCTCTGCTGGGAGGTTTTTCCCCATCAGGAGGCATGGGGGTCAGGGACCCAATTGCGGAGGCAGTCTGTCCCTTAGCAGAGCTTGAGCACTGGATTGGGGGATCCACTATTCTCTTCAGAGCCAGCAGGCAGGAACATTTAAGTCTGCTGAAGCTGCACTTACAGCTGCCCCTTCCCCCAGCTGCTCTGTCCCAGGGAGATGGGAGTTTTATCGATAAGCCCCTTACTAGAATTGCTGCCTTTTTTTTCAGAGATGCCCTGCCCAGAGAGGAAGAATCTAGAGAGGGAGTCTGGCTACAGCAGCTTTGCCAAGCTGCAGTGGGCTCCATCCAGTCCTAACTTCCCGGCAGCTTTGTTTACATTGTGAGGGTAAAACTGCCTACTCAAGCCTCAGTAATGGCAGACGCCCCTCCCTCCACCAAGCTCCATCATCCTAGGTAAACTTCAGACTGCTGTGCTGGCAGCAAGAATTACAAGCCAGTGGATCTTAGCTTTCTGGGTTCCATGGGGGTGGGGTCTGCTGAACTAGACCACTTGGCTTCCCGGCTTCAGCCCCCTTTCCAGGGGATTGAACAGTTCTGTCTTGCCGGTGTTTCAGGCACCACTGGAGTATATATATATTTAAAAACAAAAATTCCTGCAGCTAGCTCAGTGACTGCCCAAATGGCCACCCAGTTTTGTGCCTGAAACCAAGGGCCCTGGTGCTGTAGGCACCCAGGGGAATCTCCTGGTCTGTGGGTTGCAAAGACTGTGAGGTAAGTGCAGTATCTGGGCCAGTCTGCACTATCCTTCATGGCACAGTCCCTCACAGCTTCCTTTGGCTATGGGAGAGAGTTCCCTAACCCCTTGTGCTTCCCAGGTAAGGCACTGCCCCACCCTGCTTCAGCTCACCCTCTATGGGCTACACCCACTGTCTATCCAGTCCCACTGAGATGAGCCAGGTACCTCAGTTAGAAATCCAGAAATCATGTGCCTTCTGTGTTGATCTCGCTAGGAGCTGCAGACCAAACTGTTCCTATTTGGTCATCTTGCCAGCTACCTCCTTGAGTCTTATTATTTAAGAAATACATTTCATAAGTCTATAACTACTGTAAATAGTGATCCCTCTGACAGATCTGAGCAAAGTCAACTGACAATCTTCTCGAAAGAATTCACCATTCTAGATGCCATTAAGAACATTTGAAATTCATGGGAGGTGGTCAAAATATTGACGTTAACAGGAGTTTGGAAGAAGTTGATTCCAATCCTGATGGATGACTTGAGGGGTTCAAGTCATCAGTGGGGGAAGTAATTGCATATGTGGTAGAGACAGTAAAAGAACTAGAATTAGAAGTGGAGCCTGAATTGCTGCCATCTCATAATCAAACTTGAACAGATGAGAGGTTCCTTTTTCTGGATGAGTAAATAAAATGGTTTCATGAGATGAAGATGCTGTTAACAATGTTAAAATGACAATAAAGAATTTAGAATATTCCATACACTTAGTTAGTAAAGCAGAGCAGGGTTTGAAAAGATTGACTACAATTTTGAAAGAAGTTCTACTATAGCTAAAATACTGGTAACTTGCATCATGTACTACAGAGAAATCTTTGGTGAAGGAAATAGTCAACTGATGTGCAAACTTCATTGTCTTATTTTAAGAAATTGCAGCAGCCACCCTAATCTTCAGCAACCACTACCCTCATCAGTCAACAGCCCTCAACATCGAGGCAAGACCCTCTACCAGCAAAAAGATTATTACCCACTGAAGGCGTGGATGATTGTTAGCACTATTTTAGCAATAAAGTATCTTTTAATTAAGCCATGTACTTTTTTTAGACATAATGCTGTTGTACACTAAATAGACTATGATATAGTATAGGCATAAGTTTTATATGCATTGAGAAACCAAAACATTCATGACTTGCTTTACTGTGAAATTTGCTTTATTGCAGTGGTCTAGAACCAAACTGGCAATATCTCCAAAAAGTATGCCTATATATGAAGTGTTGATGACAATATATGACAGTGCCTTTTCCTGGAAGAAGTAAGGTCTTTAAGGGCCTCAACTAATAAAACTCAGTATTATGATTAATACCTAAGCCACTGCGAGACTGCTTACAACAGTTTTTTATATGAATAATGGAGCTTTCATATAGACTTCTTGGTCCTGAAATGGAGAGAGACGTTTTCATAGAATGCAATGTGCCATGTAAAACCTGTGCAGCACTGAAAACACATTCCAAAAAACACAACTAATATGAAGTAATGCAAACCTGCCTGACAGTATACATAAACACTCAAAAGTTATTGACATAAATTCAATAGGACTACAATAATTCATGTCATTTTCTACAATCTTAACAAAGAAATTTTCCCATTCTACTGTCATAGTTGCTGATAATCCTGTAGATCACTAAGATGGACAAAACAATTTGTGTTCCCAGTATGTGACCAAAAAATGTAGTTTCAAGATATTAATCCAACTTAAATCATCTGTGTGGTTTTAGTATTTTGGTATTACATAACCATTAAGGACACTACTCGGTTATATTCTCTGTGTAAATACCCAGGTATACTGATTTATATTTTTCACTTAATCAACCCAATCTTTTTGATATCACATCACCATAAAAGTAAGAATACAATTAAAGGCACAATTGATTGCATAACCTCTAGCAAAATTCCAGAAATGTGTATCCACCCTAAGTATAGAACTCTTGTTTTCAGCATCTGACAATTTAATGTTTTTTTCCTACCACTTTTCAACTCTAGGAATAAGAAATATGTGTTAATTCATTTTAGGCACTACACAGCCAGCAATGGAAACTGAAGTTCACTCTTTATGCTAGGGAGATAGAGCCTGGGTGATAATGTCATGGTGAGCTGGGGTTCTTAGCCACCTCTAGATATTCTAATGGAACTATATTTGAATGGTACTGTCAAGATATTTGTTGTGCCCTAAATAACGAATAACCAAGAATGATTTAAAAGGTAAGCTGAAATGAGACAAATAAGTCGTGAAAAATCGAGATAGTGGCATCAAGACCATGAAAAAGACTCTTTATTATTATTCATTACTATTAAACCTCATCTTGATAGAAATTTAGAGTCTAAAACGTGTTTCTAATACTTATGAACATTTTCTAAAGTGCTTCAAATAAGACTAGAGCGCATACACTATTTGAAAATAGTATTAGACATAAGAAAAATCTGATACTGGGAACATTTAAATAGATGTGCCATACATTCTTCAAATAAGTAAGAATTGTAAAGAGAAGCAGTATACCACAACACCAGAAGTCAGGAGCCTTGAGTTCCAGTTATGACTCTAGCCATTTTAGCAAATCATTTCATTCCTCTAAACCTTAATTATAATACCTATTAAGTAAGAAGTTTGTGCAAGCTGATCCTGTGTGTCCCAACTGAAAACATCCAACTCACCACTTACATTCAGTCCTATTCTTACAAGTTATGTCTTTCTACCACTTACAATATGCTTCCCAAACTACGGTAAACACTGACTACCAAATACAGTAAATGCTGACTGCAAACAGCTTATTAAAAAGTCTAAAAGAGGACTATACCATATGAAAAACATAATTACACATTCTAAATGGATCACTATCTAATGTTGCACAATGATAGCCATTTTAAACCTACTATGTTTAACTATTCATGGTAAACTTAACCAACCACTTCAGACAGAGGTATCCCAAATTGCCTTGACCTCACTAAGTGGTAAATTTGTGGTTTTAAAAAAAAGACTTTGTGTGAACCATGGGGGGCCAGAATAATTTAAAACAATTCTAATTTTGATAGCTATTATTTGCTGACTATTTATGAAATGGCAGGTATTGCATTAAGAAACGTATAGGCATCATGTGTAATTTTCTCAACAATCCTAGATATTAGATAATATTACTCATATTTTGCATGGGAAGAAGACTATACACTTTTTTTAAGGTCCCATTATTTGACCCAATTTCTAGTTCGAAAGTCTTAAATACTCCCTTATGTATAACATACCTGTTGTAACCACATATTGGGTTCTCTAGTAACACATAGAATGGCTATTTTAGAAGCATATAGTAGGAAAGAACATGTGTAATTCTGGGTTTAGGCATGGGTTATTTTAATAGCCATCACCCTGAAGCCAGGATTCTATCTGTCATGTTGAAAGTAAGAGTTTTATTATTTAATAAAAGGGGACTAATTCACTAAAAGAGGCTAAAAGGAAGATGAATAAAAGCGATAATATGATAATCTCTCTCTGCAAGAATTAGCATAACTATTGCAACTCTAGATTTGCATCTAATTCAAGTTTCAGATTATTGTCATAATCTTTGAAACTGCCGTGAATGGAGGTAGATTTAAATACAAGAATTCTGATAGATGTTTCTCTCTTGTTAAATTTGCCAGTAGAAGCGCACATATCTACATTCAGCTCCAAAGTAAAAGCTTTTAGAGCAAAAGTTTAGCAGTATGCCCCTTTATCCATTCTCATATAAAACCCACAAATCTAATTAAGAATGTTTAAGTCAGTAAAAGAACTGTGCAAATGACTTTCCCAGTTTCCTCTCACAAACTCACTACTGCATATGCTATATATTCAGATCATTCTTTTCCTTAAAAAAAAGTTTTGAATTCCAGAAATGTTTTCAAACTAATTATACCCAGGCTTTCAATGAGCTCAGTGAGGATTTCGTCATTGCAGGAAACACAATTGTACCTCTTGTGGCTCATAACGGTAATGGTAGGCTTCTGCATCATTGCTTTGACAATCTGCCACTGATTCTTGTGGTCTTCATCTTGGTCTCCAAACACTTAAAAACAGCTGGCAATCCTGATAGAGAATTACATTCTCACTTGTTGGTCCTTGAGCTTCTTAACAACTTAAACTACTGTCATAATGATGTGGCCATGCTCCGGGCTTCAATCTGATATATACACCACAGTCGATAACTACAGCCTCTTAGTATCATCCTGAAATACTTCTTAGAGTTCTAATCACCTCTGAAAATAAATAGTTTAGTTGAGATATTTGTCTTCACCTAGATACTTACAAACAATGAGTGTAAATAAATTAGCACCAGCAACCAATACCAGAGCAGACAAGTGATTTTTTCATGCATATTCTCTTGAATCCATACTTTGAGTATTGTCCCATTAGTACATCATTCCTAGAGTTTTATAACATGAAATGTCATTAAAGAACATAATATGAGTAACTAGGGATGAGAGAAATAGTGTTTAAAAAAAGAGAGAGAGAGAGAGAGACTTTAAAAGATGTAATTTGAGAAGACTATGGAAAAAACTGAAAAAAAAATGAAAGAAAAACATCCCAATTAGATAAACAATCCTGAAACCAAAGAGAAAGGAACGAAGTAAAGAAAACTATTATATATGGTATAAGATTATGGAATATAATAGCATTCTGTTGAATTGAATTATAGCATTATAATACCAGGATAAAATGTGAGTGAACCACAGTATTATGGATTCAGTAAAAAAGACCAAAGTCAGTATGAGATTCTCAAAATATGAGATAAAACTTGTGGGTTGTAGGTCATTTTGGGATGGGTGAGGGGTTTAACCTTATTAGAAATTAAACTAGAAAGCATCATAAAACATATATTTTTGAAAATTAAAATGTTATTCCTAATTTTGATATTTACCATTAGATTGTTATGCTTTTAAAAATCAGTGGTGGTCTCATAATCTCTTTTTTTCCATATATCCAGAAGCAAATCCATATAGCATTGGTTGATATTGCTATTATTCTGCTGGTGATAAAGACAATGGCATGAATGACCAAAGATTATATAATCTTCATAATCTTGAGGTAACAGACACTGTTATATCTCTTATACAATAGCAGATTTTTCTCTTGTCAACTGATTTATGGATGCTTTTCATCTCAATTCCATGAGTGAATCTTCCATCAGAGAGTCCCAGTAGTGCTACTGATAGTTGAACAACTAAATTACACTCATCAAGTTCAGAGCTTACTCCACTTAAAATTTCTGTAAAGAAAGTCATAATTGGGACTTGCTGGCAAGATGGCAGAGTAGGAACAGCTCCAGTCTGCAGCTCAGAGAGAGACTGACACAGAGGGTGGGTGATTTCTGCATTTCCAATTGAAGTACATGGTTCATTTCATTGGGACTGGTTAGATGCAGCCCACGGAGAGTGAGTCAAAGCAGGGTGGGGTGCCACCTCACTGGGAACTACAGGGGTTAGGGAACTCCCTCTCCTAGCCAAGGGAAGCCATTAGAGACTGTACCATGCACTCTGGCCCAGATACTGTGCTTTTCCCATGGTCTTTGTGACCCGCAGACCAGGAGATTCCATCTGTTGCCTATGCCACCAGGACCTTGGGTTTCAAGCACAAAAATGGGTGACCATTTAGGTAGACACCAAGCTAGCCGCAGGAGTTTTTTTCCATACCCCATTGCCTAGAATGCCAGCAAGACAGAACCATTCACTACCCTGAAAAGGGGGATGAAGACAGGGAGCCAAGTGGTCTGGTTCAGTGGGTCACACCCCCATGGGGCCCAGCAAGCTAAGATCCACTGGCTTGAAATTCTCACTGCTAGCACAGCCATCTGAGCTTAACCTGAGATGCTCCAGCTTGGTGGGGAGAGGAATGTCCACCACTGCTGAGGCTTCAGTAGGCAGTTTTACCCTCACAGTATAGACAAAACCAACGCAATGTTCAAACTGGGGTGAGCTCACTGTTGCACAATAGCCAGACTGCATCTTTTCTCTGGGCAGGACATCTCTGAAAAAAAGGCAACAGCCCTAGTCAGGGACTTATAGATAAAACTTCCATTTCCCTGGGACAGAGCACCTGGGGGAAGGGGCAGCTGAGAGAGTAACTGCAGCAGACTTAAAAATCCCTGCCTGATGGCTCTGAAGAGAGCATCAGATCTCCCAGCACAGTGTTTGAGCTCGATTAAGGGACATAGTGCCTCTGCAAGTGGGCCCCTGACCCCGATGTACCTTGACTTGGAGACATCTCCCAGGAGGGGCTGACCGACACTTCATACAGGAAAGCTCTGGCTGGCATCTGACGGGTGTCACTCTGGGACAAAGCTTCCAGAGGAAGGAACGGGCAGTAGTCTTGCTGTTCTGCAGCCTCTGCCAGTAATACCCAGGCAAACAGCATCTGGAATGTACCACCAGGAAACTCCAGCAGACCTGCAGCAGAGGGGCCTAACTGTTAGAAGGAAAACTAACAAACAGAAAGGAATAGTATCAATATCAACAAAAAGGATGTCCACCCAGAGACCCCATCCAAAGGTCACTGACTTCAAAGACTAAAGGTAGATAAATTCATGATGATGGAGAGAAAATATAAAAAGGATGAAATTTCCCAAAACCAGAACACCTCTTCTCCACCAAAGGATCAAAACTCCTTGCCAGCAAGGGAACAAACTGAATGGAGAATGAGTTTCAGGAACTGACAGAAATAGGCTTCAGAAGGTGTGTAATAACAAACTCCTCCATCCTAAAAGAGCATGTTCTAAACCAAACCAAGGAAGCTAAAACCATGAAAAAAAGTTAGACAAATTACAAACTAGAATAAACATTTTAGAGAAGAACATAAATGACCTGATGGAGCTGAAAAACACAGCATGAGAACTTTGTAAAGTATACACAAGTATCAATAACCCAATGGATCAAGCAAAAGAAAGGATATCAAAATTGAAGATCAATTCAATGAAATAAAGCAAGAAGACAAGATTAGAGAAAAAAGAATTTAAAAAAAAAACAAACAAACAAAGCCTCCAAGAAATGTGGGACTATGTGAAAAGATCAATTCTACATTTAACTGGTATACCTGAAAGTGACAGGGAGAATGGAACCAAGTTGGAAAACACTCTTCAGGACATTATGCAGAAGAACTTCCCCAACCTAGAAATACAGGCCAACATTCAAACTCAGAAAATGCAAAAAAACACCACAAAGACACTCCTCGAGAAGAGCAACCCCAAAACACATAATTGTCAGATTCTCCAAGGTTAAAATGAAGGAAAAAAGGTTAAGTGCAGTCAGAGAGAAAGGTCAGGTTACCCACAAAGGGAAGCCAATCAGACTAGTAATGGATCTCTCTGCAAAAACACTACAAGCCAGAAGAGAGTGGGGGCCAATATTCAACAGTCTTAAAGAAAATAATTTTCAACCCAGAATTTCATATCCAGCCAAACTAAGCTTCATAAGCGAAGAAGAAATAAAATCTTTAGAAGAGCAAATGCTGAGAGATTCTGTCAACATTAGGTCTGCCTTATAAGCGCTCCTGAAGGAAGCACCAAATATGGAAAGAAAAAACTGGTACCAGCCACTGCAAAAACATACCAAATTGTAAAGACCATCATTGCTATGAAGAAACAGCATCAACTAATAAGCAAAATAACCAGCTAGCATCATAATGACTGGATCAAATTCACACATAACAATATTAAACTTAAATGTAAATGGGCTAAATGCCCCAATTAAAAGACACAGACTGGCAAATTGGGTAAAGAGTCAAGATCCATCAGTATGCTGTATTCAGGAGACCCATCTCTCAAGCAAAAACACATACAGGCTCAAAATAATGGGATGGAGAAATACTTACCAAGCAAATGGAAAGCAAACAAAAGCAGGGGCTGCAACCCTAGTCTCTGAGAAAACAGACTTTAAACCAGCAAAGATCAAAAAAAGACAAAGAAGGACATTACATAATGGTAAAGGGATCAATGCAACAAGAAGGTCTACCTTAAATATATATGCACCCAATACAGGAGCACCCAGATTCATAAAGCAACGTTTTAGAGACCTACAAAGAGTCTTAAACTCCCACACAATAACAGTGGAAGACTTTAACACTCCACTGTCTATATTAGATAGATCAACAAGACAGAAAATTAACAATGATATCCAGGACTTGAACTCAGCTCTGGACCAAGCAGCCTTAATAGACATCCACAGAACTCTCCACCCCAAATCAACAGAATATACATTCTTCTCAACACCACATCACACTTATTCTAAAATAGACCACATAATTGAAGTAAAACATTCCTCAGCAAATGCAAAAGAACCGAATTCATAACAGTCTCTCAGACCACAGTGCAATCAAATTAGAACTTGGGATTAAGAAACTCACTCAAAACTGCACCACTACATGGAAACTGAACAATCTACTCCTGAATGACTACTCGGTAAATAATGAAATTAAAACAGGACAAACTGTGTTCTCAAGGCACACACTATATTATGTTGAAATGATCTATATGTGTGTTTTGCCCTTTCCAAATTTCATACTCCTTGAGATCAAGGACTCAGCTCTGTTGATTTTTGGATATCCAGTAGCCGGAAAATTTCCTCATTACACATCAGATGCCCAATTAACAGTATGTGAACTAAATTGAATCCATCACCCATTTATGTCTTATTATTTTGAAATATGACTTCTGCTCCCATGACTCTCCTGAGGTCAACCAAATAACCCTTTATCTTCTTTTAGATGCTTCAACCTGTCGGCAGCATTTAACAGTGCAAAAACATAGGCTTTGGAATCAAACAGCTCAGCTACTTGCTACTTGGTGACTTTGTACATGTAACCTAATCCCTCTGAAAATCAATTTCTTCCTTTGTAAAATTAGGGTAAGAATATATCTCTAATAGAAGGCATGAAAAGGTTAAATAACATTGTGTACATATGGATCTGGATATATAGTTGATACCCAATATATATTAGTTCTTTGCTCCTTCCTCTTCTACCCTTCCTTTTCTACAACACCACAGTCTATGTTCCTCCTTCCTAGTTATCATACTCTCTCTATACATAAGTTCTCAGACTCCTTTATAACTGTTCTAGTAGACATTCCAAGGATCTGTCATTCCTTGTTCTTTCATTATTTACATTATCTCCCTCAATAATCTCATCTGATCTTCGAATTTAACTATTGCTTTTAGTCCCTACTTAGTTAACTACAGATCTCTCTCCAGCCTCTCTCATGATCCCCCACAGTGGGCTAGTCATCTGCTGAATGCTCCTAAATTCAAATATTAAATTTTCTACTCTACTGTCTCCACTCTCCCAATATGCTTGTCCCACCCCCTGCAAAACAGCCCTGGCATCCTAACTCCCCTGACCAAATGCTTTCAGTAGCTCAAATGGCCTTCAATGAAATCTGAATACTTGAGTTTGGTATTCAAAAGTCTCCATAGTCTGGTCTTTATTTGCTACTTCAACCATATTTTCCAAGACTCTCACAGAGTCACCTTATGCTTCAACCAAATTTTCAGCACTTCATTAATGATTCCTAATATTACTTACCCCATCTCCTTACCCCAAGGCTTATCGAATGTCCATATCCCAGTTCTCACCTTTTTCAATCCTAGATAACCCACTAGGCCCAACGGTAATGTCCCCTCTCCATGAAGACTTCCTTGGATTCCACAGCTAAGAGCTATCTTTCCTTCTTCTAAGTACGAAGACAGTTTAGCCGTCTCTCTCTTGAGTAGCTGTTGTCTGCAAAGTAATAGCTATTCATGTCTATTTATTTTACAGCCTGCTAAACTGCACGTCCATCCCCCATTCCCAGTGCATTTTATGCCCTCCCTATTTCCACTTACCTCCATAACCTGGAGAAGAACTTAAAGCCAGACAAACAGGTATATTACATCAGAAAGTTAAATGTAGATGCATAATCAATTTAATAAACCTTCCAGGGAATAGCTGAATGCATCCAGAAAACATTGTTCCTATGTGCCCAAGGCTATGAGAGATACAGTCCTAGGATCTCATCTGTGTTCTGAGTGGTAAAGATTGCTGGAAATCTGACCGCCAGATAACTGGAGTGTTACTGTATAGCCAATGCTTCTTGCCAAAGATTTATAATTAGCAATAGAATCAGCTGGCATTACTAAACTATTTTTTGTTTCTTTAATCTCCTTTTCCTCCCTTTTGTTTTCTTTTTCCCTGTTTGTGACTGATAGAGCCACATGATCAATAACCTTTCTTTCACCAACTCTGATCATCATCTTTGCTACTGCCTGGATGCTATTATTCAGTTTAATACATTAATCCTTTGGTTGAAATTCTTAAACCACAATTCTTTATTAAGGGACCATCTTGGCATCCATGTGCTGATAGCAGCTTGTCTGGTGTCTCAAAAAAATAAATCTGAATGAAGCATCTCTTTCCCCCAAAAGATATGAACCGAAGAAAGAGAAAGATACAGAGAGAGAAAGATTTCAGCTCATAGACACAATAAAACATATGGAAAGAAAATTGAATCTTATTACACAAATTAAAGAACAGGAAAGTTTCACCTTATAATTACAATTAGATATCAACATGTCATTTAATGACAAAGTGCTGAGAAATATTGTGGCATTTTATTGACTCTTACTCCCATTATTATTCCAATGAGAAATACAACACATACTGTACTGGTTAGCAGACCAAACCTTTGTACGATGCTGTAACCTTTGGTGGAGCCCAGTGATTTTTGTTGCTTTTCAGAAAGATATTAAAGTGACAATGTGGCAGGCCATTTTTTCCACTACACACACTAAAACTAGTGTGTGTGCAGCAGAACCCTGCCAAAGCACATTGCATTCATACAAAGATCCATACAGATCTTAATCATAAAATAATCCATTCTGTACTCTGTTTTTATGACATTTATATGAATCTGGCCACAGCCTCATCAAGCAGTTCACAGAGGAAAATTGTTCTATTTATGTGGTTGAGACAGGGTGGACTTGATTTTCAAGCAAAGAGAGAAAGAAAGAAATGCCTAATTTTTGTAGTCACAAATCTGTAACTCAAAAGGACTATTTTACACCATTTTGTAACTATATTTGTAACAGAGAATCCAAAGAGTTGAGCTTCTCTTTCTTTGTCCCCTGTCAGCAGTAAAGTCATATATCGATGTTTCTGAAACTTAACTGAGTGAAGACACCTGGAAATAGTTTTCTCCTTTTCTATTCAGGTGCAAAAGGCAAAAAAAGAAGAAGAAGAAGAATGTGTGTGTAAAAGTAGAAAGGAAACTTTCCAATGTGCATCTGCTTTAATTTATTGTTGCCTCTGCAATTTAAGAACCTCTTCATTTTTCAATTAATTTTCCCAACTTTTACTCTTTACTCCTTTAGGTATCTCACATGCATACACACACACAAGTCACCTCAGGAAATTTGTTCAG